TAAAAGGTATATATTCTTGACCAGCTCGTCAAGCTCTATCAAACTATATATAAAGAAATTTAAAAAAAATTTCACTCGATTTTTGCCTTTCCGGCACCTTACTTCTACATATAAATAATTGTAGAAACAAAAAGACTTGAATTTTTCTTCTATACATGACCTATGATAAGGTTTGTAAAATCAAATAAATAATCATGTCTTTGCATTTTTCTTGATATTTTAAGTAAAAAGAAACGGTCAAAACACGAACAGAATTTCATGTTTTCGTATCATTGAAACAAAAGACAACAGAAATAGATTCATCGAAGATTCAGGGGATGTTTGTGAATACGATTGCGAGGAAATAAGATTATCGGAATATAGTTGTTGATGTGAATAAGCTAATAAAAGTATGACTAAAAAAAGAGCGTCACCCCAAAGTTATACCCACAAAAATAAATGTAAATTGAAAGAAGAAAAGACTTCAAGAATTTTAACGTATGACAACAATCGAAATGGATTCTAATTATTTGTAATAATAAAATATTTCTACAACATAATAGAATGACAATAGATGCATCGTTAGCAACAGTTATAGACTGGATGTGTGGATGACGTTGCGAATGTGAATGTGTGGATCTAGGTCGAGACCTTTTCTTCAGTCTCACCCTCAATCTGTCTTTCAATTTAGAAGATCATTTTGTAATAAAAAAATCAATAAAAAACAGTTACCCTTTTTGAATCAGTCTAAACATTAAAAATAAAAGAAACATATTTAGTCGGTTCAATGAAATGACGTCCAATATCAGATTACTTCAATTAAAAGATTTGTTGAGGGAATTTAATTAACGAAAAAAACCAATTCCAGATGAGTTATTTTAGTTGTTTGATGAATTCAATAATATTTATTTTTTTGTTACCAAAGAAAGTCTTAATTTGTTTTTATAATCGAAATACCATTCCAACAAAACAGACATACCTAAGGCACATTTTTTTCTGCAATGTTCTATTTTAAATATGATTTCTTTTCGAAATGTGTTTTATAATCAAAAGTAAACAAACTTAAATTCTGACTTTTCTTATTCAAAGTTCTACTTGAAAATTATTAATCGATGTTTGAACTTGAAATTGATTTTGTTTCAAATCGTAAATAATTTTAAAAACTTATATCGAATTAACCTCATCGTTAAAATATTCAATATTATCCTTTATGGGAAAAAATCGAGCGACTAAACAGCAAGCTTTTTTTTGTGTTCTACCAAATCTCTTTGTTAACATTCCTCACGTGTTGATTGTTAGTTGGCGCCATCTTTAATGTTTAAAAACAAATTTTTTTAATTAAAATATAATTTTGCATATAGAACTTTAAATCGAGAATTTTATAAGATATTTTTAACATGAGAAGACTCTTTAAAGAAAGTGGTGGCATATGGTCATGTCATTCTCTTCATGGAAAAAAGAATCAGTTTGATTCAATATTGACTAGTTTCTATATCAATTGCGAATATTTCTTTTCTTGAATATATAAATGGGTCCAAAAAGAAAACGTTCGTCTTCATCTCGTGTTTCTAAATCAAAAAACACATCTAATAGAAAATCAACCAGCAAAGTTGATGAAGAAACATCATCTGATAATAAACCAACAACAAATTCAATGAATAGAAAAGATACAAAAAAACCTACAACAAAAACAAAAGGAAGTCAACAAGTTAAATATCGTGTTGGTGAAGAAGTTCAATATGATCCTGTACATAAAGGTTCAACAAGACGTGCACAAGGAAAAGTTACAAAAGTATTAACAGGAGCAAAGGTAACAGATATCTGTCAGTGATGGGATCGGTTCGTGTTGTTTTTGGTACCCAACCGAACCGATCGAATTTTTCAAAATTTCAAACCGAACCAAACCGATTAAAAAATAAAGAAAACAAAATTCATCAGTTTCTAATTTTTCTTCAGAATATTCACTTACAACATTTTATTGAAGGCATGCCTATAATGCTTTTGATAGTTCTAAGAGTGATCTAGAAAAACGAGCTGCATACAATGTTAAAAGCATAGGTATTTTCGTTTTCATGTTAGAAATATCTTTCCATCGGAAAAAAACTGTAGCGTAGTTTTTGTTAATCAAGAACGACTTACTGCGTTTTCGTTCGTCGTTCAGTGTAAAGGGCACAACTTGTTTCAACTAACAGGTTACTGTTCTTTGAAGGACGTTCTGTGAAAATGTCATATAGCGTAGGCTTTGAGAAATAATTTATATATGTCATAATTTCTAGCCATTACTCTGTATTCTTCTAGTTTACGATTTCGGAGTGATGGGGCACTTGAAAATAATAAACTAATGATGGGGGGAGGGGAAAGCACACCTATTGAAAAAGAAAGTGTTACTTTTCAAAATATAACAATTTCGTCAAAATTGTAAATTTCATTTCGCCTTTTACAGTTTGAAAAGTAATAACCACTATGACTGGCTAAACTCGAAAGGTCTGAAAATCTCGGTAAAGTTATCCTTTTTAAGACATTAATTAGATAATTTTTTCTAACTTTATTGCCGTCTGCTAAAGATTATTTTGAAGTTCAAAACAAAGCGAGGGTTAATTAATGCATTAAAAACTAATACAAATTGATAATCAATTAATATATATATATATATATATGAGTGCTTCGTATTAAAATGTTGTCTGCAAAATTATGTACCGAATGATGAACAAAACTATTGCTAGTGACTGAAGATTTATGAAACAGATGAATAAACAATAAAAATGTGCTATACTTTCTTCATTCACTTTTAATGGACAAGTTAACAAATATGTTAGAATATATATTTAGATGTAATCGGTTCTGAATATTTGAAACCGAATCGGTCCCATCACTGATATCTGTGATTATATTTTTATATACAAAAAAAATTTTCTATTAAGAAATCAGATCCATCAACAAAAGAAGTTCGATATGTCATTGAAAATGATAATACGAGAAAAGAAACAAGTCAGTTATTTTTTATGTGAAAATTTAGACAATCATTAGTTTTTTTTGTAGTTTATGGTCAACATAGTGTCAAGAAAAAAGTAAAAAAATAAAAAATACAAAGCATCATGTTTATATTACTATTATTTATTCAAGCTTTTATATTGTACAATTGTCTATTTGTGTAATTTTTTGAAAATAAACTTTAGCTTCGTTTAGAAATCCAGCAAAGTCATGAAAATAAATCTATTCATGCTATTTTAAATTCGAGAATATCATAGAATGGAATTTTTAATTAAAAATAGACATTTTTCTCAGATATCCTATCTATTTCACATTCATCAATATTCTCTCATCTTTTTATTTGCCCTGATGCTAAATTGCTTTAAAATGACAGAAAGAAGATATTGTCAATTTTATTATATCGTTACATTCTAATATTCAGAAGTTCAATATCTTGAGTTGTTTTCTATCAATCTTTATGATCTTTTCAGGTTAGATTCTTCTAATAAATCTACACTAACATTCAAATAAAATCAAGAATTTATTTTCGATAAATCTTAAAATTTTTGGTAGGTTATGTCTTAAAGATCGATTTTTAATGCGACCTACTGTTAAAATGAGTCGCATATTTGATTAGTTTTTTTTCCTTTACATTTGAGAAGTTGGCAGAATAATAGTAAATATTCTATACTTTTTCAATATAAAAACTGATTGGTATTTTCATTAGGATTTCTCTCATAATCTTTCCTGAATATTAGATTTACAGTAACAGTTCAGGGATCTGTGACGCAAGGTTTTTCATTTGGCTTTACCTATAACTTCCTTATGGTAGAGTAATTTATAATGAAAACTTGATTATTTGGTCCTTTGATTGTGGTCAATTAACATTACATGTATTAGGGCAGAAATCTTACGATTCATGAAAAAAAAAGAAAACAGTGTTAACGTGTCATATGAGATAATAAAATTAACAATATTTGGCAATTAAGATCAAAGTAAATATATTATATATCACTAGTTCAGTTCTTTTTTTGTTATCCCAGACGTTTTCAAAATAGGAGATATCATTTGACCTGGTTCAGAATGCCTACAGGTCAAACCAGACTCATTGATGTTTCTAAGTTTTCGAATACACTTAATTCTATAACTCTGCATTAATGTATTATGCTAGTTTCAATTATTCACCTAATTTATTTTTATGAAGATAAGATAATAACAAGCTTTTGCGCGAAATAGTAATTTACAGCAAAGAGGAAAGCATCATAATTGTGTTTTGTATAAGAAGCCGCTTTAAATAACACAAGGTTTGGTTTGATTATATCGATACTGTTTTACATGATTTAAAAAATAGAAAATGATGACAACAGCAAGATATGAATAGGAATATGACGAAAAGGTGAAAGAAAATGTTTACAACAAAGGTGTAGGGAATAAGTGATACTTATACTAACAGGCAAGAGCATTTACATTTGGTAGTGAATTTTTCACAACAACAAGAAGACAAAATCGACGATTTATTTATTTTGAATCTTAATAAGTTCTCTTTGTCAGTCAATGTGAGTACTACAACATTGAATTGACGTTTTGTTCAAACATTTGTCTTTGAAATTGAATGAATTTGTCAAATTAGTCTCGAATGATAACGTTGTCGATCAGTATTTGGTGTCTAAAATGTAAGAGTCAGATAAAGAACATTAGTCTTGCTTGGTAGGCATCTCTCATACAGCAGATCAAACTGACAACTCTGGTACACATGGTGTCATACTATGAACACATAAGATAAAATACTATTTGACTCATATAGTTTAGATTTATCGAACTTTGAATCTCGTTTGTGTATTGTATCATGTAAATAAGGTTTTTCCAAACAGTAGTCTCAAGTATTGTTAAAGAAACAATAAAAGTGGTATCAAGTGAATAAGTTCTACGGAATAGTCAAGATCGTACGAGTTAACAAGCACTACTACAATAAACTCCCTAACTATTATCTACGACATGTAGAGCCCTTACTAAAAGAAGGATAGCAGTCTTGAAATGAGCTCATACACGAGTTCTACACGAATACACATCGGAAATCAAAGCAAAATGCTGGTATTTAGAGATTTTTCGGCGCTCAGAGGGGTACAGTCTGAGCCATATGCAAGCTGGGTATAACAAATTAGTGCTCATTAGTTTCATGCTTGGGATTGGTAGAAATTTTTTCGATTGAACCGGGATGGAAAAGTCGGCTGATACTCTCTGTGTGAAATTCATATAACACTTAGAGTTTCTTATGGAAACAAACTTCTATTTTACTCTGGAATGTTGTATATACACTAATATAGGAATACAGGAAGAACTTTTTCAAAACTTTGATCTAGTAACTTATGTCAACAGATCGTGAACAATACTGAGGCTTTGTTTTGTCTGACTTTCTTCAATAGAGATATGGTGTCTTTACAGGTATTGACAAGATTGATTTTATTCTTATTTGACAGTATTATTTAACATGACTTGAAAGGCTTCTCAATTCCCATAAGACTAATACTGGCGATAGGAAGATAGAAGAAACTAGAAAGTTCGGTTTTATGCTAAATATTACATATTTTCATAGTTACATGAAGCTAGTCATTGGGATAACTTTCACAATAAAGGTAGTCTATTCTAATATTTTTGTAGTATGGTCTTGAACTCCATAACTATTACTAGTTATTGAGAGTTTTTCAACTTCTCATGACTTGCTAAAACTTCGTAACCTTAATAAATTCATTTAGCATGATCCGAGGTCCTTGTAGTATGATCAGATAGCGTGTGCTCAATAGTTAGAACTAGAACTTTGATAACGACTAGAAATTTGTCAATGGAAGATTTTCAGACACAGATCTCTTAATGGTTAAAGCTATAAAATTCGATAAAAAAGAAGAAATTAGACTAACTTTAATGTCATAAATATTTATTTTAAAAAAATCAGTGAAATCTGACCGATTTTAATAGCTCATCTGGACCATACCAACAAGCGAGTAACTAGCCATTTTCGTTTCAACTATGTTGTACATCAAAGTTCAAAGCAACCAGAATTTGAATAAACACAAATTAATAAACAACAACAGGAAAAAGGTCATTCAATAGCTTATTATTGATATTTAGATACAATTACAGTAGTACCTAACAATTAATTCGTTTTGACATGTTGCGATGATGAAATAGTTTCGAATGAATTCAAAAGAAACGCAAATGACAAGCGTCTTTATTCATGTGATGCTCTTGTTTCTTTTCAACAATATGCATGTATATACAGTATAGCTTCTTCGAATGAGCAACTCTCTAAGCCAGGCATCTTGCTTATGTAGGCACCTAATGAAATGGTCAGCAATTTCGATTGGAGATTAAGATCTATCAGAAAGTAGACTCACTGTTTGAATTAGAGAACTTCCTATTTTAACTTTCGGCGCATCGTCAACATTTATTCTCAAACTGGGTTGAAATCAGATCATTTTTTATAATCAATCAATACACCGAACATAAATTAATAGCGTTGATGTATTTTAATGTATGTTGACTTTTCGATAGGACACATTGTTCCTTTGTATATGAAATAGTATAATACATGTTGTTCTTAAATGACTAGAACGGCAAAATATAAAATCATCTATTTGTATATTTTTGCAAAAGATTGTGAATATTTATTAGGTGCTATACAACATTTTATACAGACTTTAATCAGCATTATTTACAATTCAGGACACGTCTGCCTTTATAATCAGACAAAATCATAAAATAGTATATATATCTATATCGACATACACTACTGATTTACTCCGTATGATACAATCATAAAGCTTTGTTGGTTATCTCGATAACGAAATTGTGATGTTAGATATAAGTGAAGTAATCAAATGACTACATTTGTACATCATTTAACAATATTAGACAACGATTTGTTTCGATTCATCTATTTAAACATATTTTTAAAACGTTTTGCTGGGATCAAATACATTCAAGCGTTTTAAAACTTAGAAACTAACCAAAATTGTTTCGATCAATATAAATCATATACGTTTGAAAGACTTGAAGATGGGTCAAGTATACCATGACACGTTTTGACCATGCTAAAGGCTCTCACTAGATCATTTTGACCTATTAAATTATATATTCATTGTAGAATTTAGTTTTCTTATTGTCCATTGTGATTTTTTTGAACACGTGAAAACATTCGTTGTTAACCAGACAGTCATCGTAAAAGCATCAAAACGTGAAATTTTGAAATTGTCTACTGACGCTTGCTCCTTCAACGTGTGATCTAAAAAAATTGAAGCATCTTTTCTGTTGAATAGATATTAAGCTGAAAACTTCATTGAACTTAACAATTCATTAAACATCTTAACAACACTAGATAATTAGCAAAGAAGCTTGCAAATGAGTTCCTGTCTCATATGGAAGATAATTAATTTGTACTAAGACGATTCTATCAGTTATCTGCTCTCAAACAAAACAGGACATCATTGATATCAATAAGTGATCATTATCTATTTAATACACGTCAATTGCTGATGATTAAGTGTGTATAGACTGTTTTTACAAAATGGATTGAAAAAGTATTGTTTGCAGATAACTAATACATCAACTTTCTATTAATGAAGACTGAAAAGGGTCAAATTTGGAACACTACACCATTTTTACACGTGGATTTACGATGAAAAATTCAATGTTATTGTCAAAGTAATTCTCTGACAAATTGTTCTTTGCAATCAATTTTTTATTGTCTTAAGTGAGGTTAATCTAGTTCAATTCTGAATTACGCACATCATTCCAAGAGTCTATTTTCAGACCAATCGATTGTGAAATATCTTACTTATGGCATTTTGCGCACCACTGTTTTGTAGAAGAAAAAACAGAATAAAACAACACGAGCTGAATCATCATGTCGATTGTTCCCTGGCACTGGAAGAAATGAATAAATGCGTAGTATGCCACTTGTAGAAAAATAGCTGGTATTGTGCAGAACAGCAAGAAAAAAAAAGAGTAATTCATACTATATATAATTCAAAGTATGCTTATTTTTGACTTTTCTTTTCTCATTTACATCATGAAGCATAACGACGAATATACGTATGAAATAATTGAAAATGAAACAGACGCTCTCATTTGTGCTCAGTTGATATCCGAAGAATTTGTTCGACATAATCCAATAGTAGTTTATGATCAAGTTTCAGCTGAAGAGTTTTTCAATGAACGTTCATGGCCTTTCATGATGGATGTATTTGATGAACGATTATCTTTTCTAGCTCGTCATCGTCATTCTAATGAAATTGTTGGTGCTATAACAGCTGGTGATCTATTTGTACATAATCAAAATCATCCGTATGATGAGTTTGGAATACCTTCAACTATACCTCATCATGATTTACTCGCAGATATGGCTAATCAATTTATTAATAATGATTTTAATCAACAATTGGAACCTTGTTTAGTTTTACATATTGGTGTAGGTGCTACACGTGCTCAACATTCACGCAAAGGTGTAGCTAGTCGACTTCGTCGACTTCTGTGTAATTATGCGCGTGATATTAAAGGATTCCAATATGCATTTGTTCAAGTGACAAATCCAATTACGAAACATATATACACAAACAAATTGAACGCACAAATAGTGCGTATAATTGATCCTACTAGATGGGCATGGACGAAGAAGAATTGTCAATTATATCCGTATAAAGATTATAAGAATGAACCATTATACAATGTTCTCCTAGAATTGACAAAAACTGACAAATTATAATTGCAATATATACTTGATAATCACAGACTCGCACTTGAAAAATATGAATTGTCACTAGACAAGTTTAAAAAAACTGAATAAGAACCAGATGCAATGCAACTGGCAGTACCATTGTTTTCATTTCCGTTGCACTTGAGATCGACTCACAACGATTAAACGGCTTCCATCTCTATTTTTTGACATGAGACTCTTATTACTTTTGTTTTCCTTTTCCTTTTTATTCGCATTCCTTATTTGTTAGCGTACATAATTAATAATTGTCTATTATGTAAATATAGTGAATTAATGTTTACTAATATAACCATTGGTAGATGTTGATATGACAAGAAAAGCGATTGTTTTACTACTTGTTAAGTCGAATGGTAATTACGTGAAAGTACAGATATGGGTGCGGATGAACCCAAAAGGAAGACCTACGCTCACATTTCACACCCTCACGGCTAGGGTTTTGTGTAACTGCTGTTACTCTTGGTCATAATCATCACGGTCCAGCGCTGGAACCGACCTGATAGTCCGTTACCGATCCGACCGGACCGGATCGGTATGGAAAATCTACTGACCCGGAAAATGCCGGAAATTCGCCGGTTGAAAATTAAAAATAACTATCTTCATTTTCTCTGTTTTTTGTAAAAAAAAAAATGTTATTTTTGGTTTTTTCCATCAAGTATGAAGTTGATGAAATGGTTTCCCATCGATATACAGTATATATATATCTTAATACCATTATTATTAACATTGGAATAAAATTGACTATCTTTTTTTCAATATGATTGTCTATTGTTGTATATCTCATCTTTTGTTTATATTTTTTTATTTTGTCATTTTGTTTTTATGAGCAATGATGAAAAGACGATTTGATAATAAAACATGAACAAGCATAACTTATACTAGAAAAGCAGAGCACTGAAAACTAATTTTCGATTTTGCATATGCTTTTAAGTTGGTAAATGTATCAAGGAACAATAGACACTATCACGCAAAACTGCATCGTACTCTGGAGATCTTATTGACAAAATTAAAATGTCTCATGACTCGTAAACATCAGGAATATCTTTTCTAGAATCTCACTCCAAGTTTTAATTATACTTGGTCAAGAATTGAAATTCTTCAAACTATATTTCTAAATACTTTTCTTAGGATCCAATGAGAAAACTTTAAATCGTAATCTGTCTGAATGTATGCTGTGAAGAGTAGAATTTGACTTCATCGTTTCTCCACGTGTTTTCCAGTATCTGGGACGATTTTGACGCAGTCAGTTATACGGTATGCCGTCCGATTTGCTGGAATTTCACCGGTTCAAGAGCATTCTGTAACAGGTCTGGACCGGTTTTTCGATTTCTTACCGGTTCCAGCTCTGTCACAGTCATAGTCATGACCATGAGCGTTACTAAGTTTTCTTAGAAGCTCGTAACCATAATCGCGATTTTGACTGGACATAGCTCACGAAGAGTCACTGCCATTAAAATAGTCACACATCCGGTATTTTTCTTAACCTCGCAGTTGTTTCACACCAGAAATGATCTTGACTTTTTTGCATAGGATTAGTATCTACAACTACTTTTACATGCAAGAAATAAAGTACATAAATTACGCATAACCTAGTCATAATTTGTATTTTTAACAATAACAACAATACGATAAAGTTCAACTATATACCTATGATCCTTCTAGTTTCGTTTCGAGAGGTTAGCAAGAATATTCTTAGAGGAAATTGATTATAATAAATTTCTGTTTGCCAACACCTTTGGAATTGCGGTTGAGTTGTCCATTATTCGCTTGATCAGACAAATGTTGTTATTTAATACTAAATTGATTTTGTTTACTATCCTTTCAATTCAACACATTCTCGTCGATTTTACTCATAGAATCAATATATTGGACTGTTGTCAATCATAAGCATAATTTACTTAAAGAGATTTTAACGAAATAAAACCAAAATCTGTGGCTCACGGTGACGATCACAGTTACGGTTCGTGACTAACCCGAATTAAAAACTTGATTACGCTAGCCACTAATCATGATGCATTCAAAAGAATTAAAAGAAAAAAGACCTTTCAATAGAAAAATATATTTATATTCCTGCACTATGTTTGATGAAGACTACTTACTTTGTCGAAATGTCACAATGTAATTTAAAGTTATATTATTCATTATTTTATTATTATTTTTTCATTTGTAGTGAAATAAAATATATATGAATATTAACTTAAATTTTGATTTTAAAAGAATACTTTTAAACTTTATATTAATTTGTACATGAACTATATAATGGAATAAAGAAGACCAAAATAGTTGACTAATTACTAACTAAAACGACATATATTGTAGCGAATATACGAGAAAGATTGAGTAATCATAGTGAGTTATTATAATTTTGACATAGACTGTTGAAAGAGCACATGATAAGATAAAGTAAGATAAGACCTGTGCCTGTGTATTTGAAAAAAAGAGTCATCACAAATTAGAAGTAGTTACAAGTGCGTAGTGGGACGTAAGACTTAGACCTGGTGCTCGATTATTCATGTAAATCATTTTAAGATAGAAAAATTTTTTTATATAAAGAAAACATTCTCTTCATCATTTCAGACAAATGTCATCCTCTCTTTCTGCTCCATCATTCGATGAGATTCGTGCAGCTCAATCTCGTCTACGTGATATTGCTATTTGCAGTCCACTTCTTAAACTTGACTATCAAATTCCTGGAGTGGAAATTTATTTGAAATGCGAACAATTTCAACTCACATCATCATTTAAAATACGTGGTGCTGCCAACATTGTCAAGATTCTATCAATGAAACAGAAAGAAAATGGAATTGTTACAGCTTCATCTGGTAATATGGCACAAGGTCTTAGTTGGATAGCCAGAGAGGAAAATGTCAAATGTCGAATATTGGTACCTGACACGACCAATGAAGTAAAACTAAAAGCAATTGAACGACTTAGTGGCGAGATTACTAAATGTACTTTTGATGAGTGGTTTCAAGTAATTTTAAGTGGTCAATGTCCAATGTTAGATGGATATTTTATTCATCCGGTACGCGACCGACATGTTATGGCTGGACATGGAACAATTGCATTAGAAATATTAGATCAATTACCTGACTGTGATGCCATACTTGGTAAACGTATTCGTTTTGAAAATATACTGAAGAATAGAATTTATAACTCTTGAAATCATAACAGTTGTTCGAACCATTGTAGCAAGTGTAGAAATTCCAATAATCATAAGAATTGTGATTTACAACAATAATTTTACTAAATCAAACTACTGGAATTATTTAAACTTCTCTCTGAAGATTGCATAAGAGTTTCAAAAATCCTTGCATTTTTCACTATCATAATAATTACAGTAAATCAAGATTCCTTCGATCACTGGAGTTCTTGTGCATAATAAGATGGGTTTAACCATTTTAAGAGTTTTCAGTTCTTGTAAGCCAATTATTATCGTTAGAAACAGAGTTGAGATTTCATTGGATTTTTCATTGGATAGAAAAGTATTTTATAATAGCAGGTTAAGTCAGAAACAAGCTATAAGGTGTGTTGTATGTAATTTTCTTAGCAAGGAGAGTTGCAGGACATTATAAAAAAAGCACACTTAAGCGGCTCTTATCGTAACTACTGATGTCGATTTCATTTTTCGACGTGCTTCAAAACAAATCTATAACTCTTACAGTTAGTTTTATTCTTATTGACAGCAATTAAGAAGAGCAACAAGTTTAATGGAATCTCATAACAAGTTTTCCAAGTTTTGATTTACTTTTGTTTCTGCTCACTATATAATGTCAGACATGCTCTATCTGTTGAATATATTCTGGCTAGATCGGTTTTGCTTTTGCGAACAAATAATATCCTAGCTAAATTTCGTAGATGCTGCAACATCTGCAGCAGTAAGAAAAATGCACAAAATAAATAGTATTCTAACAATGTTCCTAGAATTTTAACCCCCTTTTCGAAAAAACAATGATCCTTTAAAGAGAAACAAAGGAGAGTGCACCTTCGTCCTAGTTACCAAAGTAAAAGTTTCAGCCTAATTGATTACTTCTCAAAAGCACGATTCAGATAATGCTTAAGGTCATTTTTAACATTTACGAACCTATTATTTTTTGAAACGTCATATCCTGAAATAATCTACCGATAACAATTTTTTTTCTATGCGGCAAGTTATACCTATTTTAAAAAACTTCAGAGTTTTTCATCGAAATATTCTCTGAAAAATTCAAAAGGCAGAATTCCTTCATTCTAATGGTATTTTAACCATTTTTCAATGCTCTCTAGTTCCATACGGTGGTGGTGGCTTGATTACTGGCATTGTATCTGCAGTTAAACATTTAAAACAATCTATCGATGTATTTGCTTGTGAAATCGAAACTGCGGCACCTCTCTCTGCCGCTTTGAATGCTGGTGAAATCGTCAAAATTCCAATCAAAAATTCATGGGTGGATGCTATTGGTCATGCAAGTATCATGAAAGAAATGTGGCCATTGGTCAAAGATTGTATTGATGGTTCAATTGTTGTTACATTGAAAGAAACAGCTGATGCATTGAAATTATTAATAGAAAGAAATCATATGATATGTGAAGGAGCAAGTGCAACTGCACTGGCCGCCGCATTATGGCACTATCCAAATTTATTACAACATGGTAAAGCTGGCCTGAGAAGAAAACCAGGGAACGAACCTATAAAAGTGGTAGTCATACTATCCGGTGCAGGCATCGGTACTGAAACAATTATTAAGTGTTTAAACGAAACTTTATAAAAACTCATACGTTTTAGAAATTTTTGTTTAACTAATGACCTTATTATGTAATAGCCAATAAAAAACATAAGCTTTCCTATCATGTTTATTCTCATATAACAGATCTTTATGTATGACACGGTTCTTCTTGGCATTCAAGTCACCATTGATCTACACACAATCACTTTACGAATCGGAAAAGTCATTTCGAATGAACTATATCTTTATATTAGTGCGCAAAGTTTTTGCAGATCTATAGATTGGAAAGCTGCCGTCATTTGTGCAAAATATCACTTTCGATGCAGACTCTGACTCTTTCAATATGTGAATACTGTTTTTTCGATAATATCTCTGATGTAAGTTTTTCGGACTCCTACTAATCGTATATAAAATTAAATTTATTCAGTATACTATTGATCGTGTTATAGAACCTTATTTAAACAAGGTTTCAACTAAAGAAGAAAGAAGATGAAAATTTCATAGCTTACATATCAGTGTATATGCATAAATGCTATGCGTATGTTTATTTAATATACACTGTGATCGCAACCTAGGGCGTCCGCTATCCATAGTGTTAGCCATGACTAAATCTTTCCCACGCCATATTTGTTGGTCACATGTCTTGTTTGTACACTGTTCGTGTTAAATATTCGAAATATTGCTTGCTGTTGTCATTCGTCTTTTGCTGTAATCGTTCCTAGGACGAATATTCAAACTGCTGTGTGGTTGATTAAATACCAAAGAAAGAAAAGATGTGTTTTACTTTCAAAGCAATATTCACAGGAACAATTGGTCATTCTCATGACAAAGCAACATTCACAATGAGCTTCTAGCCAGTTGAATGTTAGAAACTTGAAATTCATGAATAGCTTCTATCTTGAGAATTTTATCAAGCAGTTTTTCTTTGATTTTCTTTGATAGACTGTGTACAAGTAGAACCTGTAATAAGATCAATCAGATTGTTGCTTTTCAATAATCGAATAATCGCGAAACTGATAACAACGACAATCATGGTCGATAATATCGAATCGATACACTTTGTCAAATGTTTTTCATTTCGAGAACTGTTAAGAGTGAATCTGTTTGACAGCAAACTGATAATCACTATCAACAACTTACATACATCGGACAACACATGAAGAAAGACCAGATGCATAATTTAACGCAGACATGTTTTTTGCTATCGCCGTCGAAGAAGGTTGTCGAAATTGTGACACATATTCCTGCGACATACGGAGAGAAGTCATCGAAAAATCTAAAATATATTTTTTTCCTATGGAGCTTGATGAATTCTATATAATGATAAAAAAAAATTTTGATGAAGTTTTTATTTAGGACCACCTTACATTACTGAAGAGTTTTTTTTTCTTCTCTTGTCAAGATTTCTACATCAATCCAAGTAATATTCGACAGACTAAATGAAATATTTTCAAAATTACGTATGACCTTCTACTTAATGAGTATGGTATATTATAAATTAGAACATCTTTGTTTATTTATTTATTTATTTATTTATTAAGTACAACGATACAACATGACCCATATTGAATTATATATTTTATGTAAATGGAATAACATATTATGTGCATTTCACAGGGACAGTTATCATATTTATTGATATCCTTTTTTCTTGTCGTACACAGAATCAGCTAAATAGAAGACTCAAGCTTTCAATGTTTTATATGTCATTTGCAAAAGAAAGGAGTAAAACATATTACGAATTAAACAAAAAACAAGATGTATTGATATATATATACTTTTCATTTACACTTGAACAACCGATGACTCATACAAAAGAAATCACTTCTATATATTGATCCTTGAATAAATATCATCTGTCTTTTGTTTAATTGTAACTTTTACTTATTTTTCTTCTTTTTGGTCCTTTGTGGCAAACTATTAGTGATGCTGATCTTTTAGCTACACTCAACTCAAGGTTTAATGTTAGTATGACTAAAGGTTCCGTAATCCTTAACCTATACTATGATTTAGTTTTATCTGGTGTTATTTTTATAGCTGATTGTATATTGAACCGTTTACAAAAATTCGTATGAGCCGTCCAATACAAAATTGGCTATAAAAAAAAGCACGAGATGAAACAAAAGCATTATACGATTTTGATAATTGGGGAAATTTAATCTAGAAATTTCCCTCATGTCAGTTCAGTATTACGAAACCTTTAGTCATAATGGCATTAAATCTTGAGTTGAATGTAACTAAAAGCTCAGCATCACTGATAGTTTGCCTCAAAAGGCCAAAAAGAAGAAAAAAAAATAAAGATTAAAATTAAACAAAAAAAAAGAGATGATAGTTATTCAAGGACAAATATATAGAAGTGATTTTTTTGTATGAGTCATTAGTTGTTCAAGTGTAAATGAAAAGTATATATATATATAGATCAATACATCTCGTTTTTTTGTGTAATTCTTAGTATGTTTTACTCTTTCTTTTGAAAATGATTATTAAAATGTTGTTAGCTTGAGTCTTCTATTTAGTTAATTCTGTTTAAGGAAAAGAGAAAAGCATATGAACAAATATGATAACTGCTCCTATGAAATATATATTATATGTATTCAAATATTTGCTAATTAATTCAAATAATTAAATGAAGTGAGACTTCAGATCAATCATTATAGAACAACTATGAGGATCACAAGAATATTTGGCAGTTCTTGTCTTAATCCATCGTCACCTAAAGTGATAGCATATACAAACGTTCGAAAGAGTTAGGCTAAAAGTGATCTTTTCAAGTCAAAAAACGATATAAACAATCTCTTCTTTCAAAATGCAGAACACATTGAGTAATTTGATAAATATTGAAGTAAAAAGAAATTATGTCGATGGTAACCAATAAATTTGTTTGATTACTAGTTCACACGGAATTTGTTGATGGCAACCAACTTTGTCATTTCGATGTTTAAGCTTTTAAGCTATTTTTTGAAATATTTTTAACAAAGAAAGTATGTATTATTCGCAAATATCGAGCCTATTTTACTTAAGAGATGAGCATTGCATTAAACCACTTTGTAGTACATCATTTTTAATTCATTCATAAATTCTAAAATAGGATATACTTGTTGACAAGCAATCAGCAATAATAATACATGTGGATGAAATTGGGCATTATGAAAGAAAGGAGTTTTCGATGATTTTTTAAACATATACACATTTCAATCATGTACAATGAATATTGTTACATAATTTATTTTCACGTTGGATTGATTAATCGTTCTCTGGTTAGCAAAAAGAAACAGAATAGACGAACTTCGATAATGTCTTCTTTTTACTTTTATCGAATTAACCAGTGTTTACTTTTGTTTCATTCCAACATTGTACATTAATGTGACAGCAACATTGTACCTTTACTTCTATTATAAACTGTGTTGTCAAGTAATGGCTCAAACAAAATTAACAATACAGTAACATAGTTACAATTAAAATAAAGATTTGTCCTTTCATTCACTATTAGATGAAATCGAACATTGAAAGAGAATTTTTCGTGTTAATTCCAATTTTTAATAAGAAAATCACTTCCAGTGAAAATATGATTAAGTCATCTAGAGATATTTTAAATGACCTATATGGACTATTTACTTTTAATCAGTTCTAACATAAAAAGAGTTTCAAAGTTTTATTAAGTTAGGTTATTCGTATAATTAGTTAATGATTTCTTTGATTTATTTCGATATTTATTCGATCATAGATTTTGAGACTAGTGCTACGTAAGTCATGTGTATAACCTTCGAAAACAAATAGATTATTTCAATCAAAATAGGTTTTCTATATTCACGTAAACGTGAGCAAGATTAATGGTTTTAGTTTTGAGATCAACTGATTCAAATTTAAAGAATATTTCGTTATTTTTTCAACATAGATTGAATAACAAAAATAATCATCATATTTGATTTTGAGTTCGATAAAAGTATGCAGATGCTATTTCATGAACATTCTGTGTAAAAGAGTACGATCGAAAAGACATTAATTTTAGCTACATAACTAAAACTGAAACAATGAAAATAAACCAAAGATTTCATTTCTTTTTGAAGATTAACATGTTTTCTCTGAAGCAAATACAATTTATTCTCTACAACTTGTAAAATACGTAAACATTTTTAAAATTTTATTGATAAAATATTTCATTAACATCGTTGACTTTTGATAATCTCTTGTTGTCAATCATCTTTCTTAACGTTACATGAGACGTTTTGTTTCTAGAATGCCAATCTAATCCTCATTAATGCATTCAATTACATACGTCCTATGTAAAAAGTTTTGCTTTTTTCTAATTTAATTTATTTTAATTCCCATAAAGAAAAATCAAGTAGATCATTTGACGATGATTCTTAAAATTGATATGAATAACAGATTTACTTTGTTTTAGATTGCATATTATATGTGACCACAGTCAAAATTATGGGAAACTGTTGTGGACCAGAGCCAATCATTGATCACCCCGTTTATGAACCGAAAAAGGAACAATATAGATTACCTAAAATAGTAGTAATACCTGAAGATTCTGCTTTGATTTATCTCGATGCTTCATCGACACCGACATCAACTCGATTGAAAGATTTATTAAAACATAAATTTCCTCACCTTATTTCATGCGATAATGAGAAAAGAATATTCAATCAAATCAATATGATGCATCGACGTAAATATTATATAGTAATTGTGGACAATATTCGAGAAGAAACACTACGAGTAATGTTAGCAAGTTCAAAGGTGAGAGCTGTCTATTTTTGTCTAGAAGCAACGAATCTTAGTCACAATTTAAAATCATCCAAAATCAAAGGTTTTTTTAATGATCAAATGGCACTGAAAAAAACGATCTATCATGATGTACGATCTGACGAATATTATTAAATAAATATGCATATCACTTATATTTTCATTGAATGCATGCATCTAGGGTGTGGATGTGGATGAATGTAGATTTGGGTTTTTGTATGTATGCTATTGTGGATATTGGTTGTGAGTGTGCGTGTGCGTGTGCATAGAGGATTGATGAGGACTTCATCTGCAGTCACACCTTAAAAATTGGAAAACTCTTTTGAAGAATACATTTGATTACAAACGCCGAAAGATATCAGCACTAAATATAAGATATCATTGAAAATGTTATTTGTCACTAGGAAACTCCTGGATCTTCAGTAGAGACTATCGTACTTGGAAATCCTCATCCTCTATACTATCAGATATCTATGCTTCAAAGGAAAAGTATAGACAGACAAGTTTATTCAGTTGTTTTTAATGTTCAATAATTTATTTGATTGTCACTGCTCAATTCATTTTTAACCTTTCCTATTATAGTGCATTTTAGAAGATCCAAAGTTTGAAGAAATTTAGAACAGCACACTACGAGAAACTAAAAAAATCACTTTATACTGCATTGTAGTGAACATAAAATAGAGCGAAAGATGTTTTTGGACATCTCATGTCAACAACTTTTTCAGCAGTTTTACTCTAATTTTTCAGGCAAAAAATGAAAAGTATAAAATACTTTTGATAGTTTTAATTAACTGAATATCTTCATTTTTCTGTGCTTCGACTTGATAAATTGACAATACATTGCAGTTGAACTTATGAACACATCGAAAAACAATCTTTTTTTACTGAAATCAATTAAAAACAAATAAAAGAGCGTTTTCCATCTTTTAATCAATTTTCTAGCATATAAAGATAATACGATATATCTTTACTATAATTATATTGAAAATTCAGTTGAAAAGAATAGAATATTTTATCTATTCAATTGTTGTTATTGTCTTTCGATACTTTTTTAATGAAAACATTCAATTAATTATTATGCAGTTAATGTTCAAATATGAAAAGCGAATTCGTTGAGTTACATATTAATGAATGCTGTCAGAATATCGAATTGATCGATAAAAATAGATAATCTCTGTTAGTATGATGTATGATTTTATTCAAAACTAATTAAGTAAAATGACGTGAAATGATCATATTCTGCATATATTCATTGTCTTTTAATTCGATTGAAGAAGACAAAAATCTATGAGAAAAATTGTAAAGCAAAGGTGAATTAGTTCGATGAATATGACTATATCAAGGAGAGGTTAAAAAAACCTAGAGAAAGCGTTAACAGCTTTTTCTCACTCTTCTGTTCTAGTTTTTTTCATTCAGATAAAATAAAAGAACATCAGAATCAACAACAACTTAATAATTCATTCAATTGAAATAGCGGCCTTTAGAGACATACATTGAACTTTGTTTTATCAATAAGTGATAATTAACAAAGAATTCCTATATCGCTTGATTCTTTATTTTTCAATTTTAGAGTTTAAATATAAACTTGGATAGATTAGTTATTCACTGAATGCCACTAATTTTATTATATGTTTTAAACCATAACTATACATGAAACAGGGTTATTCTAATATATTCATATAATATAAATTGTAAATACGCCATTATATTTCATCATGGTACTAAAATCCACGTTTCAATTTGTACAAAAAGAAACAAAATTTTAATAAAATAACTAAACAACCATAGCTTTCGTTGTATATTTTGAATAAATACAACATATATAATTTTTCTATGATAAGAGTAAAGATAATGACTAGAATTTTAATATACTATCGAGAGAGATGCTTATTATTATTACTGAGATTTTCGAATTCTTTGACATTTTACATCTCTATGCTTAATGCGCGATAAGAGTCATATAGTAAATGCAATATCAACAAGGTATTCCATTTATTCATGCGTCTCTTATTCTAATAATCTTCGTACGGTTTCAGTTCTTTATAAATATGTCATATAATAATGTTAGAATAACTCCAATTTATATCAACGATAATTAAAAGATAAGCGTCGTTTTTCCCCAATGAATGCATCAAAAATATAGCTGTTTGCAGTAATATTTGAAGTAAAAATACTTTATTCGACATTATATAGAGAAATCACGATTTTGAATAACTTCTTATTGATAATAAAGTAAGTGTTTATTTCTAGAGTTCTTCAACTTAAGATAAATGTATTCATTCATATCAACAATTAGCAATAAGATCATCAAAATATAAACTAAAGGAAGAAAAAGAAGATCCCACAGATCTGTAAAACTTAAAAATCGATGAATGTATTGATGATGAGATAGAGATTCTATAAAAAAATTATTGAAGTGTTTGTTATTGCTTTTATAACTCCTAAGAAAAAAAACGGTAAGGACGACTTCTACGAGGTGAAAATGTGAAATATAATAGAGCTAATTATGTTTTAAATGAAAAAATTTAGCAATCCGTAATCAATATGAAAACAGATCAAAGAATAGAGATCTTAATGTCGAATTTCATCTTAGAGATTAGAAGAGATATATTAAGAATATAAAGGAAAACTTGAGTCTAATGTTTCTTTTTATAAAACTCTCTCAAGATTCATAATAATATCATAGTGTGATTCTATTTATGGCCATATTGCTTCCAACCTGTGAGAAAAGAATAAGATTTCTTGTCTTATACTTCAACACTTGCATCAGATTCGACGAAGTTTGGTTTATAGAATAAATATCATATCGTAATCATCAATAGAACAAAATAAATGGATGTTTATATAAATTCGATGTTAGAAAATCATATTTAATCATACTTTAAATAGAAAAACTTCAAATAACAATGACCGATAAAAATATTGAAATTCTAAATGAAATCATTAATCAAATAACACTCTACGTACCACTGTTAATCATTATAAGTGGAACAATTGGTAGTCTCTGTAATGTTATTACATTTACATCAAGACAATTGCGTTTTAGTTCATGTGCATTTTATTTTTTATGTTCAACAATATTTGATCTTCTTTATTTATTATTCGGTGGAATAACACGTCTGATGATTGATCATTTTTCTAATATGTTACTTAATAGATCAGTTCTACTTTGTAAATGTCGTACTTATCTAGTTGTTGTTTTACCATCATTGTCTACCATCTTCATAATGCTTGCATCGATGGATAGGTGTTTATCAACATCTACTTCAAGAAAATGGCGCAATTTAAGTCGAATAAACATAGCTTGGTGTGTGGCAATAATCACTTTTCTGGTTTCAGTCTTTTCTACTTCTCATATACTTTTTTTGTTTGAATTACGTGCAAAAGATGTCAATAGCAATACATATATATGTGGACCTCATGATGATATATATAAAAGATTTATTACAATTTGTTTTTTTTTTATTAGTCCATTTATAACTTATACGATTATGTTAATTTGTACAATGACTACTTTAATACGGATTCGAACTTCGAGATATCGAATGGGATTTTTGGATAATCGAAGAAGAAAATCAATACATCGTAATATAGATCGTAATTTAATAACTTTATTGTTCGTTCAAGTTGGTGTAGGAATATTATTAACGTTCTTGCGTTGTGGGTTTTTAGTTTATAGTATATCGACAATTAATATCAAGAAAAATATTTATAGAATAACTATGGAAGCATTTTTCGATAAAATTTCTCTTGTTATTTATTATATGAACTTTGCTAAATCATTTCCTGTCAATACACTCACAAGTCCACTTTTTCGTCGTGTCTTTCGTCAGAGAATAATCAATTTAATTAGATGAATATCAAATTTTTCACAAACGAAATAAAATAACTTTACCGAAGTAAAAGCAATTTAAACATTTAACAAATTTTGACATGGATATTCTTGCAAAAAGAACAAAACGATTTCAAGCATGATTAGATTAATAAACAAATGAGTTCATTTTAAATATAACGAGAAAAAACTTCAGACATTTGTTTTTTTTTGGTTTAGAATAATTAACAGCACTATCTTGATTGATCATATCAATGTTTCTTGTTCGACTTTGTGTTCTTATATAAAAGAAAAACGATATTATGTTAAAATTCTGTTATAATTGATAGTTTCGCAACATCGCAATAAACTTAAATTTATTTGTGAAGCATAACGTTTAACCATCTGAAGATGGAATTTTTTTAATAAAAGAAATAAAGTTGAATCGTCAAAATTAGTTGTTATATAAAAAATTCTAATTATCATTATTGCTATACATTTTTTTACTTGAAAGATACAAAAAAAAGGATTCGGGAATAAGAAGATGAACAAAACACAAAGAATCTAACTTAATCAGTCAAAAGACTTCCGTTTCTAGAAAAATATTTAAACGTTTTATATAGAGTCTTCGTCGTCCAAAGATTAAAATAATCTAAAATAAACTTCAAATTAATTCGATTAACATGACAGATATGTCAACTTCGTTGACCATTGTAGCATGCTCTATTTATTTGACAATACAAGTCAAATAGTGATAAATAGAAAGAAAACAATATACTTCGACAGGTATTATTAACTAAAATTAAACCAAAATTTGTCAGAGGAAAAAGTTTCTTTGGAAGACGTTCATGTATTCTATATGAATTTGATTGATAGAGAAATATATTCGAAGTCAATCGTAACTAATGATGCGCATTCTCACTCGAATAAATTAATTTCTGGAATAATACTGTCTTCTAACAATATGAAACTATTCAGATAATTTTATTTAATAGATAAACATTTGAATGAATAATCAAATATGCTAATGTCTTCGTTTTTGAATATCTCCCAAATAATTAATCATCTTTCTGTTAATTATATGACATCTGAATTCAGCTCAGAGTGTGAGGAAGGTGCGAAGCATTCCGAATTTTGATTTTGAGTTTTCCATGTTGCACAGATCACAAAACTTCTTAGTACCCATCGAATCGATGAAAATTTACTATGATTGTTGAAAATTGTTGTTGAATGTACATCTTAATTTACTCTGGTTATTATGAAACAACATTCTCCTTAATTCAATATATTGACATGTGAAATCGCTGGGAAACTATGTCATGTTTTACCAAGCGTTTTGTTGAGATACAATAAATATCCATATTAAGCGTCATTCGTGCATAAACTTTGCCTTTTGTGTGCATAGAAATGAATAAGTTTGTATTCATTTGTGTTAACATTAAATACTCATGGACATCCATTTACAGCTTGCGAAATTTTGCTCAGTTTTAACGAACACATACTTATTTAGCATAAGTTATATGTGTTCTCTTGTAGAAAGGATATCAACGTTAAATATTAGATCAGTTCTTCAGTAATGCTTTGTTTTATTGATAGTAATCTAGAAATTAATCTAAGATTACGATTGTTACCATTTTTCTATGCATGCAAATCTAGACGCCGGTACAGGTGTACGAAAGGCCGATGCATCGTTGTATAGATCGAAATAATTCAGTTAATACATAAAAGCCACCATGGCTAAGTGGCTACATTATTCGATACGTATTCACAAGATACTGTGATAGAAGCTATGTATTATCAGCTATGAAATGGTCCTATGCCAGTAACTGACAGCTGTCTTTTTCGACTCACTTGTTCAGTAGCATGTTCACTATGTTGTGATATACACCTGCTTTTGTAGATAATTAATTCGTATCGGAAGATCAGGCAATTGAACGCAGGAACTCGGCATTGAGTTGGTCTTCTGTTCGAAGCTACAGTCAGTCAAAGTTGTTGGAAAAATAGTGGACTACTGAATCAGACGCTAGAAAGCACTTCATATCGCGAACTTTTCAAAAAGCAATGGTATTCTACCTTCCGATAGGTAAAATATTGCTACATATGTAATGAGACTTTTATTATCTATATAAATCGAAAACAACTTATTAAATCGATTGCTTTCTTATTGTTGGTATCGCCTTGCAAGTCTACAAGTAATAAATGATTTCAAGACGATTCATGCATATTTCATTGTTCGTTCAACGAATAACAACAGAAGACGACGACGTAATGCTGATCGTTTTTTGTTGCAGCTACAGTTGTACCAATTTTTACTAAAAGCTCATTACCTTCTTCACGTTTTTAAAAAGCTTCTTGTATCATTTCAATTTCTTCGTCGGGTTTTGTTGCAGTATGTGTTCAAACAAGATGAATATCATCACGTGTTTCACGTATATCAGCCGCTTTTCAATCAAGAGTACCTTGTCAAAGACTAAAAAAATCTCAATGATAGTTTCTGTTTCATAAGGAAGAAACACAAAATCTATACTGTTTCTTAATATGATCTCGTTCTCGTTTCGTACGAATTTCTTCAGTTCTTTTCATAGCTTGCACTAAAGAAGAAAAACTCTATATATACTGTCTTTTTTTTTTCTAAACAAATTTGTTATATTCTTTTTGGTTTTTTCTGTTTTTCACGTGTATTTTTCTATAATTCACGGTTATATTTAATTGGCTCATTTCGACGTTTTTCATATCAACTGTTATATCTGTGGTTGAACCCTTTCTCATAAATTTTCTGTGTGCTTTTGTCCAGCATGATTTATGTGAATTCAATCTCTTTTTTAAGTTCACGAAAACAACGTGAACGGCAAAATGAAACGGTCAAGTGTATTGTTATATAAACGTATTTAAAAAATAAGAAAGAAGTATAGTTCTATTGGTCAACCAGTTCGAATTGATTGGATACCATGTTCAGGCCAGAGCGCTGATAAAGAATAATAACATATTTCGAGATGCATATTGTATTTTTTTTATGACCAGAACAGGAAATCATTGAAAAATAAAAATCTTTCTTTAGCAAATTTCATTAATACATATTTGAGTATTGATTTATAAATAGAGTTTGACAGTTCCAAACAAAATGCCGAAACAGTGAAATCATCACATAGGTGCAAAAGTTCTTAAAATTATGTTCAGAAGTTTCCTTGTTTCATTCTAGGGATTAAAGACTTCAGTATATATGTATATTATTGTTTTATGTGAGTACTGAAATATGTGTCATCTTTAATTTGAATAATTGAATAGCTGAAATTTCTCTAAATAGATTTAGAGTATTTGTGTCGATCTGACCATTTGTGTCTGTAGTCGTTTTCTCATTCCTATCTGTTTTAAGTCAGTTCGGCAATGTCTTGTCTTTTAAGAATTCTCTCTGTATTACTTTCTTTTTGAAGTAAACGACGATTCTAATAAAAAAAAGAGTCACATATCCTATAAAAAAGTACTACGGGCGTTGATGTATATATCGCCACCAGTCTATAACATCACATCCAGGTAGTAGCAACTGTACATATGTGCAGTGCTTATGTTTCACTTTCATCGAGATGATATGTTACGATGAAATTCATCTTTTTATTTTCTGAAACTTTTCGCAAACGATAACCGATATGCTTTGGAAACATGATCTAGAACGAGTATTAAAGCACAGAAATAGAAATCTGACTTTCTTTTCCCACGTGAACAGAGAACAGAGGCCAAACAGAAAAAAAAATTTCAGCTTTTTTTTATAAAACTGTTTTTCACAAAGTTTTCTTAACAGAAAATAAATGTTTGTTTTGTACCGAGTTTAATGCACTATGACACGAAATACTAATCAACTTGGTTCCAAATCACACTACTTTGAAAATTAGAGCTCAAGGAAAAAAATTTATCTCTTGACTGTCCACAGTGCCTCTTCTCTCCACAGACAGGACAGATACATCAGCAGGAACACATCATATACCGTGAAAGACACCTGAATAACTTCTTTTCCCTTCTATCAGAGAACTTAAGAACGCGTAACACCGTCTTTCCTCGGTCATACAGTATAATAGATCCCTTGGTACGGTTGCTCGCTCCTGCTGGATCATAATTGGTGCAAGTGTGGGTGCGTGCAGTATCCGGACACTCGCACCTATATCCGCGTATTCACCTCTATAATAGTAACAGCAATGAAAAGCTATATAGTTTACATTGTAAAAATCAAAAAAAGACGTTTTTTTTTCTAAATCTTTATTCAGTTAACTTTTGTTTATAATAATGTGAATATGTATGCATGGAATCGTTGGAAAATATGTCCAGAACAAATTTCTTTTTTCTTTTCTTCAGACGAAACTTTGTAGTATCTTGTATTATTTGATTTTGAGAGTCTCGTTTTATTTGGTGCACCAAATAGTTAGCAGACACCAGCTTACAATCAGCAATGTTGTTGCAGAGTTCTTTACATCTCTAAAGCAATTTGTACTTTATTTAACCAAAGAAAAAGGAAGATTATACATTAATTTTTTAAAAAGTAATCAATAATGTGTCAAGCACCATTTATCAGTTCTATCAATGGTAAAATGCTTGCGAATCATATTATCGCCGGGTACTTCAATGAGTACTCAACCGAAAAAACCACAGGGTTTGCAGAAGATTTTTTTTCGTCTGTAAAACTTTATAGAATTCGTTGCGCTGATCATTTCGACAAAACAAAGTTCTCATATTTACTCAAAAGGCCATAATGCTTGGGTCAAAATATTCGAAGAACGTCAACTATTGATCAGCAGAAATTAGGAATAGCCGAGATTTTTTAGTATTTTACTCCTAACACCATGATTCATTAAGAAAATTTTAATACTTTTTTTTAGCAAAATGATCAGTGCAGCGAAAATTCTACAATAATCTACAATCCAGACCCTTTTTTGTAAAACCTTGATGCTGTCAACAATCATAAAATGATATTCGATCGATTGTTTTACATCAGATATAAAAAATGAGCCGAGTTCGAACTAGTTTTTAAGCAACAAAGGCGAATAGAGTCGAACTGGAACCAGTAAAATTCCCTTGACAATGTAATGGAACGACTGACTCGCTCCTACTTTATTTCAAAAATGAATAGATACATGTGGGAAACACGCAACGATAAGAGCAACACAGCATAGAAACAACCCAAGTCAATCATTCCGATCGTCGGAAACGGCGTCTTATCCGGCCTGAAATGGCTATAAAACAGCGAATTACTGTATTCATTTTAGCCTGATTTCGCCGTAATCCATCATACCGTATTACGAGCCGTTTTTCTCGCTAGTAAACGGCCATCGTTTTTCCCCAATTTTTCTTCCGTAATCTGATATGATGGATTACGGCGCCATTTTACGTCGTTAATACACCGTTTTA